AACCATATTAGTAAGTAACCTTTACTGGATCCTCACCAGGTTCCCAGTACTGAGTAAAGTGCCTTATAAATATTATCTTGTTGCATTCTTCAGAAATCACTCCTAAAACAGTGTAACAGAAGGAAATGGCCCCGCCGCCAGGAGGAGGGAATGAGGCGAACACGGAAAACGTAGCTGATGATACTGCTTAAAAGCAGAAGGTGGCAGGTGCGAGCACGAGGCGGTGGGAGAGGGGCCCAGATTCTGGGTCTGGGTGCGTGTTCTTTCTCCATTACTATTTCTTGCTCATGTGTTTCCTCATTCTCCGTTTCTCTGGGGAGCTCCCTCAATTCGCTTTCATCCCTTCCTCTCCCAGCTCCTGTCCGCATCCGTCTGCCCACCTGGCCGGCTACCCCGTCACGTGACCTATGCATCCATCACAGCACTATTCCCGCCCCAGCTGCTGGTCTGCACCCGGCTCTGCAGAGGCTTCAAGGCGCGCATGCGCAGCCGCAGGTGCACCTGAGCGCAGATGGACCGGGCGCATCTTCCGGCCTCAGCGGTGTCTGGTCGCGGTGCAAGGGGAGGGGGGCGTGGGGCGGGAGTCAGTGGGCCCGCTCAGGCTTACACCCTCAGAGGAGTTTGAGTTCTGTTACCAGTATCTTCCTAAGCTGTCCAAACAGTCCAACCTCTCCTTAGGTCAGGGCCTTGGGGTTGCACCCTTGGCGCTGGAGTTTTCCCTGGGCATCAGGAAGTCACTTTAGTCATCCATCTGCGCTTAAAGCCATGTGACTTTGGCAAGGTGACTTGACCTCTCTGCGTCCCAAGACAAAATGATAATAACAGCACTGACGTGGTAGGACTGGAGAATCGGTGAAATTTCCCGAAAGCTCCTTGCACCGTACCAGGTGTGCCTCAAACTCGCAGCAAAGGCAAATAAAGGATCAGAGCAAAGGGTGGTACTGTGCAACAGCTGCCGGGGCTTTACTCTTCCCTGTTGGTCATCTCACTGGTTTCTCAGAGCCACCCTGGGAAACTGGCCTGCAAGTTTTATTGTCCCTGTTTCACAGATCGGGAATTCAAGGCTCAGAGTTGGCAAAAAGGCTTGACTCAGGAGTTGGACTCCACACCCAGAGTCACTGCAGTGTGACGGGGGTTACAAGGTGAGTTCACAGTTTATCTCCCCACTCATTCTTTGAACCATCTGGTTCAAAATAATGTCCATTCTGATTTTGGTCACTCTAGGGACCATCTCAGGTACACATCTGCAGGGAACAATTTCTTTTTTTGTTTTTCCTTCTACAGAAAGGAGCAGCTGTATTTTATTTGCTGTGATCTTTGGCACAGCACCCAGGTTACCCAGAAGTCCTGGAATCCTATGGCCAGGTCCACCTTTAGAGGGTCTTCCTCCTACCCCACCTCCTGTCCTACCCTCACTCAGGCTGTCTACCCTCTATGTTCCTGGAAGAGCCAGAGTCCTTTCTGTCTGTCACTGGGCCTTTGCACCTCTGTGTTTTCCTCTCCCATCTGCTCCTTCTACCGTTTTTTGTGTTTGTTTTTTTTTTTTTTCCCAGTATCAGTACCGTTTGTTTTGTTTTTGGTACCAGGAATCGAACTCAGAACCTTGTCTTTGCCAGGCAGGTGCTTGTGCCGCTGAGCTATATCCCTGGCCCTGTTTCGTATTGAGACAGGGTCTCACTATGTAGTTCAGGTTGGCCTTGAACTCACATCGATTCTCCTGCCTCAGCCTCCCCAGTGCTCTTGCTACCTTTTATTGAGCTCAGGCAACCTGCTCTGGCTGCAGCCCAGCTAGTACACTGCATTGGACCCCTGTCACTCCCTGTCACAGCCTTCTGTCCTACTCCAGCACTTTCCAGAGTGGAGACTCTATGCTGTGCATGATTCCTTGACTCCCATCTATCTCCCTGACTAGAACACCAGCTCCTTGAGCACAGAAATGTCTCCATCCTATCCCCCACATGGCTGGGCCCTTAGCTACACTCAGTAAGCTGTCACTGACCTCCTGCCTGACTGAGTGACCAAAGGAGCCCTCACTATATTCCTTAGCTGCTACAGAATCTTCCAGCTTCTAATTTATGTTTTCGCGTCAGATAGAGAAACTGTACAGTCTCAGCTGACACATGCCAGCTAGCTAAGGAAGGGACCCTAGGTGCCCTCACCTGTACATGCTCTCCCCTCCAGACACATCCAGAGGCCTCCACATGTTCAGGGGGCAAAGGCAGGAAGAGGCGATACACGAGCACTTTCTCTAGGAAGTCCTGTCAGGGCTCTGGTCGGGGAGACCGGGCTGGGGGTGAGAAGATGGTCAGAGCTGCTTGCTGGTGGCTGAACTAGAACGTCTGGCATTTTGTCCAGCCTTGGCCACCATTCGCTTCAGGACTTTGGAAAATTCCTCATCATCTTCTTTTCTCGCTCAGTATACAATAATGGCTCAGAATCCAGATTCCAGAATTGGATTCATTGCTTTGTCACTTACTGCCCAAGCACTTCTTTATCCTGTCTGAATCTTAACTCCCTCATCTGTACAATATTATGTTTCTTAGTAATATGAAGAAAAGGACCTAGCCGGTAAGACTGTTCAAAATATCTAAGAGTTCACTGACTTTACCTCGAAGAGCTCCTCTGTCCTTTTTGGTGTGCGATCGGCTCCTCTTGCTTGTTTTTCTTTGAGGCCAAAAATGAGCCCTGTTCCTCCTCACCCCCACCCTTAAGCCTAGTGTCCCCAGCATGCTAAATAAACACTTAACCACTGAGCTACCTTTCCCTCCCAACCCTTGTTCCTTATTTGGAAAGCAATAAAGAAAGTTCACTTTGGTAAATGTGGACTCCAGGAAGTAGATGTTGATTCCAGAGTTGATCCCACAGTATATTCCTATCAGATTTAGGATTTGGAGCCCGGCATGGTGCCTCATGCCTGTAATGCAGGGGGATGGATCACTAGGAGTTCGAGGTCAGCCTGGACCACACAGTAAGTTCAAATTCAGCCTCAACTACATAGGGAAACCTGGCTTAAAAAAAAAAAAAAAAAAGATTTAGGGTTTGGAAGCTTCTAGTTTCCAAAATCCGATGGAGTGTCTTGTCCATGGTTGTAGCTCCAAGACCCAGAATAGAAGTTTGCACATAATAATAGATCAAAAAGTACTTGTTAATGAATGATCGACACGCGTTCTGACAGCAGGTCTAATGCTTTTGTCTCCCAGCGTGGCGCATCAAGGGAGGCCGAGGTGAGAATGTTGCAAATTCGAGTCCTACGTGGGCAACTGATGGAGACTCTGTCTCAAAAAAAATAAAAAAGGGATGGAAATGTAGCTCACTGGGAGAGAGGGCCTGGGTTCGACTCCCATTGTATGTGTGTGTGTTTGTGAGCCAAGTTATCGTGAGGATTTAATGAAATGATGTCTTTAAGACCCTTCCGCACGGAGCCTGACACATAAGAGCTCAGCGATTGGCGGGTATATGGACATAGGTGTTCAGGGGGCTTGGGATGGCATCAGTGTATCCCAGATTATGTGGTGGCTGGGAGGTGGTACTACTAATAAAGAGATTA